ACCCTAAACCCTAAACCCTAAACCCTAAACCCTAAACCCCCAAAAGCCCCCAAAAGCCCCCTAAACCCTAAAAACCCTAAACTCTAAACCCCAAACCCTAAACCCTACACTCTAAGCCCTAAGCCCTAAGCCCTAAACTCTAAGCCTTAAACTCTAAGGTTAGAAGTATGGGCCCCTAATATGGACCCTTAGGCCTTTCTAGGGACCCTTTAACGGGAAATATAGGGTATATCGTAGGTATATAAGGATCCCAGGGTTAAGGGCCCATACTAGGGGAAAAATGGGTTCAACTTTTGATAAACCCTTAACCCTAAACCCTAAAACCCTAAACCTCAAACCCTAAACTCTAAACCCTAAACCCTAAACCCTAAACCCTAAAACCCTTGAGCCCTTCACCCCTTGAAGAACCCTTGCCTTGAGGTCGATGGCATCATGATTTACTACCCCGTCTTCGGACAGAGGCCTAGCTTCCACGGCGGATCCCACGACGACTACTTGCGTGACACCGTGTCTCCATACAAGGAGTGGCTTTCGGGTTGTGGGGCTTCGGGTTTAGGGTCTTTGGGTTTCGGGTTTTAGGGCTTAGGGCTTTAGGGTTTAGGGTTTAGGATTTAAGGTTTTAGGGTCGAGGGTTTTAGGGTTTAGGGCTTTGGGGCTTTCGGGTTTAGCGGTTTTGGGTTTAGGGTTTTAGGGTTTAGGGTTTAGGCTTTAGGGGCTCAGGGTTTTGGATTTAGGGTTTGGGATTTTGCGCTTGGGTTTGGGCCCCCAACCCTCACCAAGAACGCTTGCCCAAAATGGAACGGTGCATGCTACGAATCCTTTACTTTAAGCCTGTCGCTTTACAAAAAAGTAAACCCCCAACCCTGGACCCTAAACCCTACACCTCGAAACGCTTTATGGACCTGCCAAAAGAACCCTTGTAGAATCCTTATAATATAGGGGCCCTAGTAAGTACAATAGGGTTTTGGGGCCCATTATAATATAAGTGTAATAAGGAACCCCCAAATTAGTATTCGTAATTGTTCAGAAACCCTAAACCCTAAACCCTAAACCCCTAAACCCCCAAGTTAGTATTCGTAATTGTGTAGATGTGCGCTCGAAGGATCCGCCTTGACTCCTTCAAGAATTCCTTGAAGGAACCCTAGAGGAATCCTTTGAAGGAGCTCTAAAGGAATCCTTGAAGGAACCCTAAAGCAATCCTTTGAAGGAACCCTTAAAGGAACCCTAAAGGAATCCTTTAAAGGAACCCTAAAGGAATCCTTTGAAGGAACCCTTAAAGGAACCCTTAAAAGGAACCCTTTAATGGTTTCTGTGAGGTTTCTTTTAAGAGTTTCTTGCAGGGTTCCCTCAAGAGCCCCCTTAAGAGTGCTTCTAAGGGTTCTTTGCGGGCTGTTCTTCAAGGGCTCCTTGAAGAGTTCTTGTAAGGGTTCTATAAGGGCCTAGAGACTTTAGCAATTGGGGCTCCCTGCGTTTTTTTTGGTCTTTCTGCAAGCAGGATCCTGCTATTCCGCGTCTAAACTTGTGCGCCCTTACTTCGTGAAGCTCTCGAAGAAGGGTTACGCTTTTAGGGTGGAGTGCTTGGTTAGGGTGCCTACACCCCAAACCCTTTTCTTTTCGGGTTCTGTTTGGGCTGTTGAGGGTTCCGATCCATGATACAGTTTCAAAATCCTAAACCCTAAACCGTAAACCCGTTTCCTTGCGTCAAGCGACCCAAATACTTTGAGCAGCGGAGGGCCGGGCACTGAGCATGTTATCAGCATGGCCCCGTTGCCTTCTCAAACCCTCCCCTAAACCCCTAAAACCCCTATACCCTAAACCCTAAACCCTAAACCCCTAAACCCTAAACCCTAAACCCTAAACCCTAAACCCGGAAACCCTAAACCCTAAACCCTGAACCCCTGAAGACCCTACAGCCCCTAAACCCTAAACCCCAGAGGATGCAGAGGGGCTGAACCACTTCTACCGACGGGCGCTCTACCGGAATAAGCGCTCTGTTGACTCGGCGTCGGGCCGGCCTGTTTTTGTTAGAATATAGAAGTTTAGGGTTTAGGGTTTAGTAGTTTAGGGTTTAGGGTTTCGTAGTTTAGGGTTTAGGG